ATCAACACCAGCAGCCATTGATAAACTTTATCCTCCAGAGAAAAGGCTACAATACTGGCTTCTACTTAGTGTCTAAACAGCAACACCTTTCCTGGCTTTCTCATAGCTTTAGCCCTAGCTTGCTAGAGTACAACAAATATTTTGCCACATATTTTGCTGTTTTCAGTTCCAAACACAAGCAGGCACACTTCTTTTTGAGATATATTTGCAAATGCCAAAACTGATAACCATCTTTGAAAAATAGCTATGCCTTTTTTTAAACAAATGCATTTTTACAATGCATTTTCACACTCCAGTGGCAGGAAGTACAAACCTTTGAAAAGTGTGCACACTTCTCCTATTCAGATGAGCTGAAACGTAAGTTGGGAGATGGAGGAAACAGGGGTACCCAAAATGAACTCTAGAGTGAATTCTGGAGGATTTGGGCTAGCTCAGCAATTGCTGGTTCTCCCATCTAATCTATACCTTTGCAGAGTAAAATCAGAGCAGTACAAGGCAGTGATAAATAACCTGCATTTCCCCTTACACCCTTCCTGCTCGTGTTTTTGCTGTGTGGCGGTGACTTGTGCCTGGCTTGCTTGCGCTGAGGAAGGAACAGCAGCAGCTTCGATAGATGGACACATGCTGCCCTCTGGTGGTGAAGCCAATACATGGTATCTTCTCTCCTGAATAGGCTTCCAGATGATCGTGTTGGCTTGAAAAGGAGAATTGCGCTCATATTTTGGCATTCAATGTAGTGCTGTGCCAGAACTTTCTTCCATGCTTTTTAAAGCTATTCTCATGCAATCTGACTGAAAATGAGATGCTTTTCAAAGAAGTTTAAATTAAAAGAATTCAGATAAATTACCATGGGATGAGCTCAGGAATCTTGGGCTTCCTTACTTACAGGGCGGCCAAAGAGTACATGAACGTATCTTTGCTTATTCAACATTTACCCATTACCCAGATTAAGGAATATTAACTGTAGCTGAAGAAATTTCTCAGAAGGCATTTATTTATTTTCCCCAGAAAAGTTAAAATATTATTTTTCTTACTCCCTTTAGGAATAAAAAAACTGTGATACAGTTTCTCAAGAAACTGGGGGGAGAAAGAGAGAGGGATAGAGAATCACCATATTTCTGTGAGTGGCGCCTCCCTTTCCTAGTGATGCTAGTGAGTTATTGTGGAACATGCAAAATGGAACGCAGCTTACCAACAAAGTTGCTGCTGTTGCCACTTGTAATGGCTGTGGAACATAACAAAACAAGGCAAGACCAATCCAAACTCCACCCAACCCAACTCAACTCCTTAGGAATACAGAAAGAAGATATACTACAACCCGTGCTAATGATGAGCCCCATTTGAACAGTCTTTCCTCCCACTAGAGAAATTTGGCAATAATTTTCAGAGGGCCTTTGTGGTCAGGATCTAAGTGAAAAGGGAAAACAATCTGAGAGTGGTGGATGGATAGGCAGAAATTCTGCAAGATGGAGGGATGTGACTACAGGTTGCCTGGTTGCAGGGAATTTACAGCTATGGACAGGACAGCCTGTTTCCAGTCAGGGCAATCAGGCATGTGCCATGCTTAAAATAGTGCAATCAGCATAGAAATGTGTAAGTACCTCAATATAGATTTTTGAATATACTTTTGTAAAACCCCCAAACCCTCATGTGCTCATGTTTTTTAAATCAAAGTACATTTTATAATGTATTTTATCCTGCATTAAACATGATTGAATGCATTTTGAAAAAAAGATGGTAAACAAAGCATTGGAAAGCTAAGGGAGGTGTCAGGTATATGCAGGGATCACTTGCCAGTCTGCAGCATCTTGCTGATACAGAAAGGAACGTCCCTCTTCATAATGATATTTACATTATGAACAAGATGCATCTCTGTCTCTCTCCAGCTGTACTTCAGCTGTACTGTATGCAACAAAACGTATCCGTAATAATTTCATTCACCCAGTGGACCCATGGGTGGACCCATGCTCTGGCTCTGTCAGGTTACCTGATTTCTAATGTTTTTCACTCCATACCTCTAGTTCCAAGCATCAGTGCAGACTTATCTATGGAGAGCAAAAAGTGGCGGAGTCCATCTCCCCTGCATTTCCAGCAGAGGAGTGGATCCAGGCCTTGGTCATGAAACCTGAAAATGGCAGGATCGAACATGAGACCTGCCCAAGGGAGATTCTGACATTCTCCAAGAGCCAAATCCTGTCATGGCAGACAGCCCCAAGGAAATGAAGGCAAGGCTCCCAGCATGCAAGACTTCAGACCAGAAGTCTATTCCTTTTAGTTTCTTTACTCCACAGCTGGAGGTGGAGTAGTCTAGGAAGAGCAGCCAGTCAGAGATTCTGCTGAAGTGAGGTCCTTACATCCCGTCATCTGGCCAGGGTGCTGCAGTCCACACATCTCTTCTCTTGAAGGGGCTGCCTGTCAGGATCCTACTGGAGAGTCATTCTCCCTGATCCAGTCTCCTCATATCTGTCCATATGGCTAGTTGGAATCTAGAGCCCTGCATGGTGACTAGATATCATTGTTCATAACATCAACAGGCTCCTAACCATGACTTGTTTATTTTATTGTTCTACAGAACATTCTAAGTGTTTGTGAATGCCCTGCAGGTAGATATTAATTCTAGGTGTTAGTGCATCTGGAAAATACTTCAGTCAATAAAGGATGTTTTGCAAGGAAGGTTTTTGGCTTTGAGTATGCAGAGGCAGGGACCCTTGCTCATGACAGTTTCTGGCAGGAATCCCTATTCCTTGTCTGTCATAGCTACCTGGAGATGCCAAGGACTGAACTCAGGGCCTTCTGCATGCAAAACATGTCCTTTACTACTGATGCATGCAGAGCGCGTGCTCAATCTCTCTTGTTCTGCCCTCATCAAGGACAGACGGGTCAATTGTTCTTCAGAAAGCTGAACAAGCAACCCCACCACCCCCCCTCTCTCTTTCTTTCCCTCCCTGTTAAACTGACTCCTTTTGGGCAATGCGCATCCTTGATGCAGCAATAGTGTCATTGAGGAGTAAATGTCAATCTTAAGTAAGAAAAGCCATTTTGCCACTCTTACAAAATGGCTGCCACTGGTGCAGTCTTCTGTTGCCGTTCACACGGCAACCCAGCTGCACAGACTGCAATTGGATCCCTTCAACTTTCAGAGCAGGAAGGATGGACGTTTGAGATTCATGACATTTCTGGGTGATGCTGCTCCATTCCCTGCTCACTGGCACACATGCCAGTGAGCTGTTATTTTGCTACTTAGTTTTCTTGGGCATGTGTCCCCTATTCAAACAAAATCACCACTCAGCTGTTCTGATTGCATGAAGAGGAACTTGATTGTGTTATTATTCCTCCATCAGCTTCATAGAAGATTTGTTTTAAAGAAAGAAAAAAAGAAAGAAAGAAATCTCTTGAGGAACCCTAGAGGTTTTGATGAAATTATATTGCAGTGGGGAGTGAACTGTTGAGATAACTAGCTACATCTGATCACAGCAGCTGCAAAAGTGGATTGCTAGGTCTGAGTGGAGGAAAATGGGCTGTTGTATTTTAGGGAGCAATTTGTGGAATATCGTGCACTGTTCTTTTTGTTGGTTCTCCTTCCCTCTGTCCAAAGCCTAATCTATGAGAACCAAGCTAGATGTGACACGGGAGATGTGTGAACTCTTTCTTTCCTTCTACTTAGCTATGTGATTTGTTTGGCAGAATAATGCCAGGGGTTATCCTTCCCCCTTGTTATTTTATCAATTGATATATTGTTCCCAAAAGTTGCTTTTCAAAACCAATTCACAGCTTCTGCACTGAGCGTGGACTCATGCAATCCATGGTTGAAGTCTACACATTTCAAGGTTGCAATGTGATTCACAGATCAAATGAATGTGCTTGACAGCATAAGAATAGTTGAAGATCATGCTACAAAAATGTGGCACCCCCGCACCCCCCAAATGCACACAAATAGGCTTTAATCAATGGGGAAAAAGTGCACATTCCAAAGACATGCAAAATCAGTATGTGCATTTGGGAAAGTGTATACATTTCCACATGGAGGGAAAAACTGAAAACAAAACAAAACAGAGAGCAAAGCCCACAACTGTGTGTGGAACTCAGAGAACTTTGGGAAACATGTTTACTGCTGATCCACACATTCCTATTATAAGGCTCAATTGTGGAGGTGGGAAAGGGGAATCTTATTTTACCATTCTCAAAATGACAAGCAGGTTGAGAGTAGCAGATATGCCCAACTGTTGAACAGATTTGTTCTCTCCTGCATTCTGGCTTTAAAATAGGAGTATCTCTAAAGTTCCATGCATGAAGTATTAACAGTTTGCTTCCCCTGACCTGACCCCTGCCCTGACCTGGCACTATTACGTTGCACCCCTTTGCAAAATGACTCACCACAAATCAATCCTGCATTTTTGAGACTCCCCCTGCAAATCTGGGCGTCAGAAGGTCCATGCACCTAGTTGGCCTTCCTTCTTCAACTCTCTAGACACAACCAACCCTTATTGCCACTATTGTGGTAATGATTCTGAGTTGACCACAGTTTCCTTAAGCATCCACCTCGTGCCCCCACAAATCTTCTGTTTAGGAGACTCAAGTCCTGCTCCTGGGAAAGTGGGAGACAGATGTAGAAAATGACATTATAGGTCATCAAAGAAAAGGATAGCAAAGGGGAAGGGAATGTGGTCTTCGGGGCAACCCTAAAGGGCTGGGTATGTTCTCCAGCTTTGCCTGCCCTCCCCAAGTATGAGACTGTGGACCCCTGCTACAGCGACTTGGTTCCAAAAGGAGAAATATCTAAAAATACAAGGGGGGTTCTGGAATATCCTTAAGGGAGCTATGCCCCAAATATGGTATGTATTGAGGATAAAATCGCCTCTCCTCATCTCCTATGTTTGTGAGGTTTGCTTCCTCCAATCCATGCTCTTTGTCAGAATGACAGCATAGCCTGTATCTTGACAGTGACATCACAAAGATTCTACAAAGGAAGGTCATTTCTTAGAACATCCCAAGTGAACAGTAAGGAGAACAGAACAAACAGACATGAAGGGAAGAACTTTTTCCCATCATGAAGATGACTGGGTAGAGGAACTTGGAAGCCACTGTACCAATTATGTCCAACTGGCTTTTATCACCTCCTGTCTGTCCATTTTTGTGGGAGGCATCCTCCTCATCTTGATGTTCAGAATGTTTCAGAACATACTGTACTACTGTTTCTTTAAATACGCTGACCGATTTAAGGTAAATATATGTCAAGAGAGGGTGGGAAGGAAGGCCTTCTGTTCCCTGGATATATCAATTATCTAGGTAGCATTACAAATGGAGCTAAAATCTAACAAATAGTTGGATTGGAAGAGACCTTTTCCGTACTGCATAACTCATGGAGGCTTTAATGGACAGGTAGTGGTAGCAAGAATGTTTTGAGGTAGGTTTAATTCTCTCCCCCTGAATTACGGCCCTCTTTAGCCTAACTTATTGTGCAAGCTGAGAAAGCCCTGTTGGAATCATCTTCTCCTTGGCAGGGATGCTTGAGGAATTCGGCTCGTGCAAAAATCTTCATTATGTGGAAAGGGGAATAAGAGGGCACTTTTCTCCCTCTCTTGTGATAGTAAAACATGTGTCACTCCGTGAAGCTGACTACTGACTAGTAGCCTCTGGGCTACTAGGGTGGTATATAAATGCAAATAATGAATAAATAATAAATTGATAGTGAAAAGATACAAGACAAATAAAAAAGAAGTATTTCGCACAACACATCGTTAAGCTAAGAAAGCTATCTACTACCACAAATGTAGTGATGGATACCAATTCGTATGCTTAGTTTTATTTACTTTATACTACTGAGTATCTGAAAATCTCTGGACTATTAATGACAATTTACAAAAATTATAAGCTGTAGATACAATATTGTCATAAACATAGTATACAAATTTTAGCAAACCCAGGAAAGATGCTCCATCAGCATGCCTAGATTTATAGGTTAAAACAAGCAGCTTGAAAGGACTTGAGAACATGCAGGAAGCCAATTCAAGTGACTTTAAGGTCAGCATGTGATGGGCCCAGAGCATGCTGGAAAGCTGTGCTGGTTGGGACATGAAGTATGTTGCAGAGGCAGCAAAGTGTGGCTTCTTTGCTCCCCGCACTGTCCCAGAACATCATAGGAACATGCTACCGTTCCATTGCATCCACAGGGGCTTTTCTGCATCTAAGCTTAAGCCAGCTTCTATTTTGTTCATCACTCCCAGCTCCAGAGTACACCATGGAGTTGTACTGCAGAGGGTCCTGCAGAACAATCATGTCAAATACCCAGGTTATTTCTGCCTTCCCCAGATCAAACAAGGTTTTAACAGGAACACCAGCTGTATCAGCTGGAAAAGCCTCCAAGCCTTCTGGAAACCACCTAGACCCATTAGCCTCTGGATGCAGACTATCTGAATAGCTCCCCTCCCCCTGGCCTCAGTCTAAACCCATGATCAACCTCGAACAAATGAAGTCATTCAAAGTCCCCACATTCAGATCACCATCCTGCTGACCAGCTGGAAAAAATGTATGCATTAGCAACCACAAGAGAAATCAAAATGGAGCAGAAAGAGGCCAATGCACAAAACTCCCTTGATTACTGGGACTTGTTCTTTATTGTTCTTTCTTGACTATTTATTTGTTTATTTTTATTTACTGATCATTATTTAAAGCTCAGGGTAGGAAAAATCTAGAGACCTGCCATGGAAACCAAACTACAGTGGGTGTAGGAATCCTTCTGTCCCTTAGAAATTGCTGCAGGACTTTGCTGCTTGCCTATTCTAACTCCCCGCTTTTGCTTGATTGCCTTCCCGCGCTTATATAATTTTAAGTGGAAGGCATCCTGTTCCCAAGACTGCAGGCTGCCCTGCTCAACTGCAGTCCCAAGCAAAGCTGAGCGGTTGCAATCCTGTCAAAAGGCTGGCATGAGATTACGTGCAGGGAGTGAACGCTTTCCCCCCTGACAGTACAGGACAGCAAGGCAGATCCTGGAAAATCCTTTCTTTCTTTTGCCTTTAATAGCTGGTTAGCCTCAGGTCCCCCATGTTGAGCCACTGGAAAAGAAGCTTCCAGGATTGGGTGGTGATGATGATCTCAGCTCAGACTTCTGTGGGACGTATTCTGGTGAGTGGGTTGATGTGCAGGTGTGCTCTAGGGGTGGGCAGCAGATGCTCCCCATAACGACAGCCTAGTCAGAAGGGAAGTTTTGCTGCAAGCAGATGTGGTCCTGCCTTCTGTTAGGGAGGTTCAGACACAAGGACTGGTATTTATGTCGCCAAAAAGATGCCAGTCCTCCACATGAGCAGTGCCAGAAGAGTCCCGAGGTTTATATTGCTGTGTCTTGCATCTGTGTGTCTGTTTACTGAAGGGCATTGAATTAAATAAGGTGGGTGAAAAAAGCAGAGGGGAGCTCCAAAAGCAGCCAGATTTTAAGCATATCGTTCTCTGAAGGAAGCTTTTCTTCCCCCTCACATGCCCTTAAATTCCACTCCGGAGGGCTGGGACCTCCACCCTTCACTCCAGAGCAAGGAGAGTGATTGCAGCGATCAAGATGAAGAATGACTGGGGCAGGGCTAGCTGATTTGCTGAGGGCAGAAGGAAAGGTTAGACGTCTGTATTGTTGTTAAAGGAGAAGCAATTCAACTTGGTAAAATGCAAGGAGAGAGGGAAGGAGAGAAGCCACAGGTAAAACATACTGTTCATGTCTAATCAACAGGAGAGATGATGATATTCTCAATGGATATGTGAACTTGGTGTGGTGTGTAGAGTGTTGGACTGGACACCTGAGAAATCCGGATTTTAGTCCCCAATTAGCCACGACTTGCCTGGGTGATGCTGGGCAGGTCTCTGATTCTCAGCCCAGCCTACCTCACTGGGCTGCTCTTGTAAGGATAAAATGCAGCTGTGTAAGCTTCCTTGGGTCCCTCACAAGACCAAAAAAGAGTGAACTATAGATGCAAATAGTCATAGCAGTCATCCTAATCTCTTCCAGATTTCCAGAAATAATCAAAATCAAAAAGCTGATAACTTAATGAAGAAAATCACCTTAACTGTATGCTGAAGTTTTGCTTGCAGCAAGCAAGCTGCACCCTCAAGAAATATAAACCATGTGCCACTATGCTTCATGTTTTGAGCCATTTTAAGAAGCTAGCAAAAGATGATTCATGAACTGTTTAGTATTAGGGTGTCAGTTGTATTCTCTTTTGTTCATATCTATTTCCATTTTAGGTAATACTGGTGTTCCTGTTTAGTATTGGATCACTCATCATTTATTTTATCAACTGTTACAGGTAATTAAATCCCTGGCCTTTCTCTTGAGCCATCTCTTTTCTTATTGTTTCTAAAAATAATGCAGGCTATGTTTAAAATAGGCATATCCCTTCCTCCTATTGAAATAACTAAGGTGCTAAACAAAAGTAATCAAGAGAAAAGAACAAACTAACTCAAGGTACCGTTGCTGGAAATGCTCTGCTCAGAGAAGAACTTATAAGCGATTCCATCCAGCATCCCAGGTAGACTTCTTCCAGATGTTGCCAGGTAGCCCATGAGCAGGACTTGGAAGGCAATAACCTCCTCCTGTGGTTATTTCCAGCAACTGATGCCCAGAGGCAGACTGCCCGTGCTTCAACTTGCTGTATCACAGCCATCATGGCTGGTAGCCATTCTTTGGCCTATCATGGCCCAGCATCCGCATCTTCGGACCATTAATTACATGCTGTCTAAAGACATCCTTCCTGGATCCTTTGACCAGATGATGCAAAGTGCAAGAATGTAACATTCCCTCTCTTTTTAATTCAATTGTGATTGACCAATATTACTCTGCATGTATATTATTGTTGTTATTATTATTATTATTACAGTATATTACATTTCCATACTGCCCATAGCCAAAGCTCTCTGGGTGACTCGCATCATTTAAGTCATCCAGATTTCAACCAGGCTTCTACGACTAGGCAGGATCAGGCACATCAGACTATACGGAAGCTATACACACACACTCATATGTATGAGTATCCCTATTTTGATGCATCACTATATGCTAATTTCAGTGATGATGTCAAAAGTAATACCATGCTATGAATGATAAATGTTGGTTTGCCCTCTCTAGCGTCAAGCAGTTCTGCCTCTCCTTTGAAGATCAGACAGTTATGATTGACTTATTCTTCAATGCATTCTTCCTCCTTTACTTTGGCTTGCGGGTAAGTGATCTTTGCAATAATTAAAATACTCAGAGGAAGAGATAATTATTTGGTAACAAGCATGCAGCCAATGGAATAAGATACAGGGTGGAACAAGAATATGCATTTCCCCCAACAGTAAGATGCAGTTCACATAAGTAGCAGATGTGATCGCTCTTGCCTAGATCAAGTCATGTCGAACTGCAGGTGAGGACTCCCAGTTAACCGCTTACCTTCCTTTCTGAAGCTGTCCTACACATGCAGCAGAATGAGTTGACAGGATGCGTCATATTATGCCAGAGTGCGGGGAGGGGAGCAACACACAGTGTTAAATTTATTTATTTATTTAGAACATTTGCACGCTGCCCACTTGTGCCACAGCACCTCTGGGTGGCTTCCTTTATGGGAAAAACCTTACAAGGATGAAAACAAGCAAAACACTAATGCAGTAGGGAGTGAATTGGGAAGGTAGCTGTCCTTCCTTCCTTCCTTCCTTCCTTCCTTCCTTCCTTCCTTCCTTCCTTCCTTCCTTCCTTCCTTTTGGGTCAAAGTTTTTCTTTAGGGGAATACACCAATTAACACCCCCACCTGTGGAATAAGTGGAAGAAACCATCCACATCACCTCTGTACTGCATGTCACAGACTGGACCTGTATTCTGGATCTGTCTTGAGGGCTGGGCACAGGAGGGTATAATGAGCTCCGTCACTAGTTACTCATGGAGATGCCACACCTATGTCTCCTGTTTCTGCATGTATCTCTGGGTGTGCAACAGTGAGAATGAGGGAGTGAAGTTCACTTTCAAGAAAGAAAATCAGAGAAGTTTGAAGTATTAAGGCATTCATTTGGTTTGTTCTCATAAAACAAAAAACCCTTCTCAAATACTCACTAAACTACATGTTAAAATATAAATGGTCCTAATGAACCTATATTCTTCCCTGTTCCAATTCTTGAGATGCTAGTATGCAGATGTGTCCTAATTGACTGAGGACGGCCCTTCATTTGAAGGGCTGTCAGAAGACAGTACTCTTTTTGAAAGCATATTCTATTTGCTGGGCTGTACGATCCAAATCTCATTTAAAGATAAAGAACCATAAAGAGAAGGAATTGAGTCTTTGGAGTTGTTCATTTTTAGTCCACACTGAACAGCAGATGCAGCTGACACAGATCACCTGGTTACAGATTTCCCTACTATGATGGGAGAAGCTGAATTTCTGTTTAAACTACAGTAATGAATGTTAAATATGCATCAATACATGTAACAATGGGAAATAGAATTCAAATATGTCCTATGTTGATGATGATCTGAGCAGATGTTCAGGGATAAATGATTCCTGAAAATGAGACTGCAGTGCTTTTGAGCCAAAATACCCTGTTCCAAGTCTGTGTCAAGCCTTGTAGTTGGTCAGGGATAAACCTGCCATAACAAGCAACTTCCAGATTCCATTTTATGGTTGAGAAGATACCATGAGCCAACACAGAGTTCACTTTTAGTGTGCTTATCAGGTTCCCTGCTACCATCCCTTTCAGGTCCTCTCTCATCTCAACTGTTGGGCTCGTGGAATAGCTGAGTGGAGGGTGAATGCATCAATCGGGGGGCTGGAGCTGTACTGCTGGCCCATCTCAACATTTCACGTGCTCACCCAGCATCGAACACCTGACCTCTGTACATCAGGGCAAGGTCTGAATGAGGACCACACTGCCTTGCATAGATGGCTTGATGGGATCTGAATGGGGAAGCTTCCATAAATACAGCCACCTTCCCTTCAAGCATTCTTTCAAAGAGTGTGTTGGGTAAAGTTATGTGACGAAGTGGCTCAAGTGACTAAGACTGGGGAGATCTGAGTGCTGGCCTCCACTCATCGGATGGGATTGGACCAGTCAGTGACTCTCAACCTAACATACCTTGCAAGTTGTTCTGAAGATAAAATGGAGAGAAGGGGGTTCACGTCAGCCTCCATGGTCTCCTGGTAGGAATATAAATGTTTTGTGCAAAGATCAATACCTGGACAGGTATGTGGTATTGGTGAAGGGACAAGAAGCTATGTGCTCAGCAAAGTAATGCCAGGATGCAGCTAACCTATTGGTGAGTGAGAGACCAGTTGGAGGGGAGGGGAGGGGAGTTAAAGAAGGGAAGTTAGACAGATGTGGGTCTTGTGTCATCTGATTTTGTGTAGTTTTCCTAGTTCTTGGCAGCAAGTGACAAGTTGACATTTTGGCTCGAGCTTAATTCTGTTGTGGATTTCTTCACCATCACTCCAGTCTGTGTCTCCTTTTACTTGGGAAGAAACTGGCTTGGTAAGTCCATGCAGCACTCATACCATTGTTAGCGACGGGGCAGAGCAAAACTCATTCAGTTCACATTTTTAATGCACTATGCAAAACAAAATCTTGTAGGTTTTGACATTTGACTGATCCTTCTGCTCTTATAGCAGGAACTAGAAATTCCTCCAGTTGTGTGCACCCTTGATGTTAATAATGAAGGGGGAGTGCATGATAATATACTGGGTATACTTTTTAGAAGGGTGTGGATGACTGGAAGAATTTTCGGCGATCACAGAATTAATAGGGGCATCTCAGCTTGACAATCTCAATAAAACCTAAATAAAAATGAACAAAACTTTTCCCCCACCAAGACTGGAGATTTCTTCATACATTGAAGAAGCATCAGTACAGCTGAAGCAGAATTTTACTGGTAATTTGTAACTATTGGAGTTTGTGAAATGGTTTCTTTCTTTCTTTTTTACCTATGTGTAATTCCACTTTTGTATTTATATATGTTTTTTAAAAATCAAGTAGAGAACATGAACATATTGTGTATGTATATTGGGACTTTGTTTTGGATGCATTGAAACTACTACTGACCAAAAGGTACTCAATCCAGAGCTTTCAAGTGAGAGCTTGCCATGAGAGAAAAGGGGACTAAAACCCATCAACAAATTTCAGGAGCAAGGGTGGAACCTGCCATCACCAAACCTCTTCTCCTCTCTCAATGGCTTCCAGTAAAGCATCCAGCAGACAGTTATAAGATTTGCTCCCCCATTCCCCAAGCAATGCCCCCTCCCACCAAATTGGTCCACAAACGGGTTCACAAAGGGAGACTCTTGGAGTCAGCCGATGAATACCAAATACCTGTGGAATGCTCTCTAATACATAAATTGTTGCTGCTGCTTTTGTTTTTGTTATTAATCTGATTTCTATACTTCTTAATAGCTGAAGCTTCCTGGCTTCTAACCTGTCCTCAATAGTTGAATATTAGCTAATGATATTGCACATTAGTCATACTATACTACAAAATACCCAACCATCATTTGGCTTCTCCACGCCCTGAACTTCCTCCATTTACAGTCATGGCAACATTTTGTACCATTTAATGAAAAAAGTGGGGGAAAACCCTGCTCCAGAAACCTAGCCTTCAGTTAATCCTGAACACACTTTCGAAAAATCAATCCAAATGCATTTAATGAATTTATTTGTCTATTCACAAGTAATCCTCACTGAGGTAAATGGAACTTACTCTCAGGCAACCAAGTGTATAGGTGGGCAGCTTAATTGTTGCAACCCTAATAATAGCAGGAGTTTATGCGCATATGGTGAATTGTAGAACATTTCTCTCACATGCATTTCATTCTTTTCCTGGCCACAGGTTTGCGTTTCTTGAGAGCACTCCGATTGATGGAGTTGCCCAAAATATTACAATTCCTCCACATCACCACAAGTGGGTAAGTCAAGCTTTCACTTTGCCATCTTTCTTATGAACAGCCCATCTCCTGCCTAGTCTGTTTTTACTTGGGAAGCAAGTCTTTTGCTTGGGTGAATGCATATGGTTTTGGAGAAACCCACCGAGTTTGTTTTAATTGGTGCTGTAGCAATTGTTTAATTTTTTCTGGGTTTATCCATTCAGTTATGGGGGCTTGGAAAAGAAATCACATGAAAACAATGTGACAGAGGTGTGAGAATGCCCGAGATCCTTCCATCCTTCTTGGGCATGGGCACTACCATATTAGCTGAATAGACCCTTCTGGAGCCCCAGTCTCCTCACTGCCCCTTAGACTTTAACATTCCCCCTTCCTGCCCCCAAAAGAATGTTCCCTTTACGTGGAAGAAAGTATCTCATGATAGTAGGGGACAGAGTTTGGCACAGCACTAATTTTAACGTGAACTTACTGTTAACAATGAAACACACATACTTCTATGGCTTTTTTCCATGGAATCCTACAATTTTAAAACTGCATACGAACATGTGCTTTTTATAAGAAATAATTTACTTAAGGAAAGGAGAACATTTGACGATGCTCCCGATTAGCAAACAAGTGAAGTGTGGGCAGCACTACTAGGTGGACCAAGCTTTCTGGAGAACTAACTATATCTTTTTTTAAAAAATCATCAATGTTCCTCATTAAACCAGAAAGAGCTGCAGATGTAATATTGGTTGGGATGGCTCATAGTTTAGAGCATGGGTAACCAGCCCACAGCTGTGGACATGGAGCCTGCCACCTCTGGTGCTAAGATTTGGCAGTGCAGTGGCAAAAATGCCATAAACCCCACCTCCCACACACCCCACCCCGGGTCAAATGTGATTCTTTCATTCTGCATATTGGCTTGTATTATTCTCTTGTTAGTGAGAATGGTTCGCATTTTGCATCCAGGGCTGAAAATTAGTTCCTGAACCACCCCACCCCTGCCTTAGAGGAATGTAAACACAAACTAGATAAATTAGAAAACTGGTCAGAATTTTTAACTGGGGCGAATGCCAAGTTAAATTTGCATTAAATTTAATTGGAACAAATGCAAAAGTGTGTGTGTGTGTTTCAGTTTAGAAAAAGAACTCAGACACACGGTTATAGGATGAGGAAGACCAAGCTTGGGTAGTTTATGTAACTGAATGGGAGTCCATAGAGTGAAGTGGCAGGTGCTGTTTTAGGTTGCATCAGTAGAAATGGAATTTCAAAAACATGGGAAGTAACAGTTCCACTCTATCATGAAATGGTCAAACCTCATCTCAGATGCTTCATCCTGAGATGACATCACACTTTAAGAGGGATTCAGGTAAATTGGAACAAGTTGATAAAAAGGTAACAAAGACGATCAGTGGACTGGATCAGTCCTACAGGAAACATGGAAGGAACAGGTACATTTTAGCCTGAAGAAGAGACGGGTGATGTGAGAATGTAATAGCACTTTTCAAAAACCTACATGTTGACACCTGGGAGAGTGTCAAACCCTGTAGGGCAGAAAATAGGCTTAAGTTACATGAAGGCAGATTTTGACTGAACATTGCCTAGCAGAGAGAGCAGTCAAGCAACGGAACGAACTGTTCCATTCAAGCAAAGACTAGACAGCTGTCTGTCAGGAGTGCTTTAAGCTGGATGCTTGCTCTGAGGAAGGGGTTGGACTTGATAGCCAAAATGGTCCTTCCTTCTCTATTGTTTGGTGTTTCTATGAATACCTGAATATACTAGATTCATTCATTTACAGGGGCAGGGAACTGGGAACCCAAAATCTGGAAAGAAATTAGAATGCAGAGAATTTTGGAAGCATCCCTCAATATTAATAGAAATGTTATACATGTTTTATGATTAGCACTTATTAGTCACTTTGGGAGCTATAAAATGAGATGGAAAATACAATGAACAAATGAATCCACATCCAGCTCCAGTTGAAATATGAATGGCAGAAAATTAGTAATATACTGCCAAACTGGGAGCTGGCATATCTATGAGATGCTAAGAAGCATAAACAGACAGGAGTTTGGCATCTATCACTGTTTTATTACTCATACCATGTCACTCCCTGCCTTTTCAGTACTGCAATCAAGCTGTCCAAGCTTCTAGCTGTATTTGTCAGTACCTGGCTCACTGCTGCAGGATTTCTTCATTGGGTATGTAAAAGGATGCCTTAGGCAAATGTCAATGAGAACTAGTGTCTTGTAGTGTAGCAACTAAGTAGGATTCCCTTTAACATTACTAACATTACTATTATTGACTTTGGTCTAAGTACTTGTAAGAACAAAAATGCAAATATCATTCCAATGCCAAAGAAGATGCTTCTAAAATTACCAGTTAGTATTACCAAATAGAGGAATGACTCAATTCTATATAGATTTTGAGACAGGATCATTATTAATGATGTTTATTATGTAAATAATAAACCATCCAGAGACTTTTAGTAATGGGATGGCATCGAGAAACTTTAAATAAACAAAACAAAATAGCAATAGCAATAAAATACAATAAAATTTGAAAACAAGATGCTTATATAATAACCATATTCATAGAATTGTTATTGTTGTTGCTATTGCAAGAAGTTTGCAATAGCCATGTTAATAGTGTACAAATGAGTGTTTCTCATTTTTTATTAATGAACTATCAAAGTTAACATCTTCAGTATTTGCTCTGTGGAGTTGCAGCAAGGAGGGACTGGAGACTGAGAAGGTAGGAACAGCTCAGACAAGGAAGCAGTGACAATGCTTGGTTTTGTCTTCCTGGTCTCAAACACCTTCTGGCCTCAAGTAAAGTTACATACTTGTGGTGGGGTCTCGGTTAACGGTGCCATGTCATAGAGACATGCAAAGATCTGCTTGGCATGTCAACATCTGGCAGACTGGCTCAGCTGGGCCCTCCAGATGCCAGCCCATCCATTCAGCACTGACGTCAAGTCACTTTGCAGAGAGCCGAACTAGTATATGGTCTTTTAAAGTGTGCCATGGCTACATATATGTGTCTGTTTGATGGCAGAGAATTCTATATAAATGCAACCTCAATTTGGGGGTGTATTGTATATAATTTGCTAAACTGTGGTCTTATTTTAGGGAACTTTCTCTGCAGACCACTTTAAAACGGAAAGTCATGGGGTGGGGAGTTCAAGTTAACCTAGTTTCTGCTCTTGAGTTAGTGAGGTGTGTTGAAGTCCGTAGAGCACAGCCAAGTTAAGTTCTTTAGTATTCCCTGTCCCTCCTATCACTCACTCACTCACTCTCTCTCTCTCTCTCTCTCTCTCTCTCACACACACACACTTTAAAAAACCAGTAACTATATCTCCGACTCTTTATTAATGGCTTCAAGAGAGTTTACTGCCACTTTAGAGGAAAGATGAGATAAAGATTCAATATCTCATCAAGTATTGCATGGACAGGGACGGGATTTAGGGCCAGTAAAAGCTGCATCCACTTAGGAATGGCTTGTATCCTTAGGACTGCCCTCACTCCACTGAGAGACTATTGGGTATAATTGATTAGTAAATGAAGCATGATGGTCCAGTTTTCTAGACTCATGCCTATGAATAGAATGCAAAGCACTGAATACATTTGATTTGACCAGGAGTTTGTTTTATGAATTCCACTTGCATATCTTAATTTTTGTCTTAAATTTTATTTTATTGCTTCATGTGCAGATGGAGAATTCTGGAGATCCCTGGGTACAGGAGAAAAATAGCCAAAACTTGACTTACTTTGAATGCTTATATCTCATCATGGTGACTATGTCTACAGTTGGGTATGGAGATGTGGTGGTCAAAACCAGCTTAGGGCGTGCATTCATCCTTTTCTTCATTGTTGGGGGCCTGGTAAGAAACTGTGTTAGGATTTGGATGAAGGAACTGCACTTTGAAACCTGCTTTTCTTGACTCATTTATTTTGTCCTCTCAAGAATACTGTATGTGAGAGAGTTGGTTTCATTTAGTGTGGAGGATGAGTGATAGCAAATTGCTAAGGACTTCCCAGTTGTCAGAGCTGACAGATCCAAAGTGTTCACAGTGTAATGTATTGACTAGGCCCATCAAGAAGTTCTAGCTATTTGGATTGATCACTATTTTAAATGCAGTTCTGGGCATGAAATGCATTGACATTTTTGAAGGCCGGCTTCCTTGTTAGCATGTAATTTTCTTGTATTTTTTAAACCACCACCAACAATTTTGGATCTGATTTCTTTGCAAACTGAGTCCCTTTAGGAAAATCTATACAAAAATTGAAAATAAATGACACCAATTAAACAAATAAAATTAGCCTAGTGAACCTGAGCTAGGTGAATACAGCTAGGGCTTTTCAGGAAATAATCCTATTTAGAATTAACCATGGTGGTAGTTAACACTCTAAAGTGAATTTTTTGAATCTGTTAAACAAAACTTGCTGGGTCACTTGACTATCTGTATCAGACAGCAGGGATACATGCAGACACACACACATGCACTGCCAGATGGTGCCTAAAGAAGGAAATAAAAATAATATAAAAGCAATAAATTCAAAACAACATAATGCACTACAGTGCTCCTCATTAGGAAAAAAGTGGATTGTTCTGGAGAAAGGTCTACATTTTCTTTGTGTTTTGTTTCAAGCCAAATTTTATGAAGTTCAATCACATGTTGTGGAATTTACATATATTTTGCACACAAAAGCTCAAAGGAAGGAAGGAAGGAAGGAAGGAAGGAAGGAAGGAAGGAAGGAAGGAAGGAAAGAAAGAAGGAAAGAAAGAAAGAAAGAAAGAAGGAAGGAAAGAGCGAGCGAGCGAGCGAGCGAGCTAAGAAGCAGAACATGAGGTTTAGCCTCCTTTGGTCTGTCAGTCCAGTGAGATGCCAAAAGTTTGCCAAATCTTTGCAGTATCACCCAGTCCCTTGCTGCACACACTTCCTCAAAAGCTACCCAGAGGGCTAGACTACGTCTTCCTCCCTTGCTTCCCAACAACTTCTGCATTTCAGAAAAACAGCAGCAGCGCCCATCTCAGCTTTCAGATATCAGCAAACAGGAGTAATGGAAGTAGTAATGGGAAGCAGAGGTGAAGGAAGCATTACTATAGCTTTTCTTTTTATATGAATTTTCTTTTATGCAAAGTTTTCAATGCAAATCAGTGCCAGTTACCATTTGAGAGTTTCCCTTTCCTGAATGTTGCTATCTTCTGCAATGGAAAAAATAAAAATAAAAGCATCATACATTATTACCAAAAACTCTGGCAAAACATGCATATGAAGCAACATGCATACAAAAAAGTACATACTGAAAGCCAGTGTGGTGTAATGGTTAAGAGCATGGGACTGGGACTCAGACGATCCGGGTTCGAGTCCCTGCTCAGCCATGGAGCCAACTGGGTGCCTTTGGGCCAGTCACAGACTCTCAGCCCAACCTACCTCACAGGGTTGTTGCTGTGGGGATTCGATTGAGAGCAGCAGGAGGAGAATGATGGAAGCCACTTTGAGTTTGTTATAAGAAAAAAGCAGAATATAACCCTAATAAATAAATAAATAAATAAATATGCATCTATCAGCAGGAATGTATATAAAATTATTTTTAAATACCAACATGAAATATCCGTGTGCATATTTTTAAAATCTCAGACTTTGGGATGAAACAAATTCAAGACTGTAGACAGTCTTGAAGTTCAAGGTGAACAGAACTTATGACTGGAAACAAATGAGAATCAGATAAATGAGGGGGAATGTAGATGGTCCATCCCTACAGCAAGAGAAGCAATGAACTCTTCGTGCTGAAAATTTTCCTGCAACTTCTTGAAATACCAGTGAAAGATCATAACTACCTCCTTTGCAGGAAAGGAAAGAGGCTGAGAATGAACAAGAGATATGATATGAGACTTCTTGCAAAAGGGTTCTTTCAGGGCCTATTGGAGGTTGCAGCTCAGTCTTGGGTCCCCCTTGCATCCTGAAGTAGCCAGAATGTAACAGCAGCCCTGTTGAGATCTAATAACAAACCATAATGTGCTGTTACATGAAAAAGTTGGCATATATGCATCTGGCATGTATGTATTCCTCTTCCCATGAGCAATGGGAGAAGATATAAAACTTCCATACCTTTTGCCCATGAAAAGAGCTGCATGTTGACAGTTTTACATTTAGTTGGATTTGCTTGTACCTTTGACAGTGAATAGTTCACAGAAAACTGTAACATGTAGACACTGCCTTTCCTGCTTTCCTACTTAAGAAGTAAATAGTATGTGTAAACCTAGGGAAATAACTGAACTTGTACTTCCATTATCCTAGATACTGTTTGCAAATCTGGTGCCAGAAATAGTAGACATTGTTGGAAGCACTAAGCTCTACAAGGGTTCTTACATCGCTGTGAAAGGTAGAAAGTGAGTGGTTTCAGTTTCATGTCAGTTCTGGTTTTTGCTTGTTTGTTTTTAATAACTTTGAATGTGAACATTCCATTCCTATAAGCCACTGAGAGAGCTTTGGCTGTTGGGTAGTACAGAAATATAATCAATAATACTAATATATCAGAATTGGCATCACTTGGTTATCACACTGTGATGGGGGAGGGGGAGAGCGCAATACGGTGTCTGGTTCAAATTCAGTCCAAGGAAGTAATAGAATTATATTAGCTGGTGGAAGTATTAAGCATTGCATAAGTTTGCACAAGGTGTGGAACTGTAGTCTTTCATAAAGCTTTTTTAAACTCCCTCTGTGGTCTTTCATAAAAACTGAAGTCTGCATACTGTGTCCATTTAAGCATTGAGCTGACAGAATGAAATCTGTGCTGAGTCCAGAAAATCCATCCAATTCACCCCCAGCAATCAGATTGCTCACACATCCCTAATTTCAGCATGGGACTTCCAAATTTGCCCCATGGATTTGGAACAGCATGCTAGCTGTGACGCCCACCAACTTTGTATCTAGGAGCTACACCTGTGCTACCTTTTCCAAGGAAAAAAATGAGCTATGGACACTTTCCCCCCTTTCTCCTAGGTATATTGTGGTTTGTGGTGATATCAATCTGAACAGTGTAACTGCTTTCCTAAGGGACTTCCTAAACCATTCTACAGGAGAGGTTGCCACTGAGATTATCTTTCTGGGGGAGTAAGTATCATCGCTTGTGTGTGAAATAGCAGATTGATATCCACTGATGATTATTGCATATGACTCAGGTTCTAGGAGCAGAAACTAGGGATGGATGCACTACACTTTCTCTGCTTCAGAACAATTCAGCAGCATATGTTCATCCACAAGTTTGTTCCACTCTATTTCTCCAAGATTCCAAAGATGTTTAATAAAACCTGCATGCGAGTTTATATTTAAATTACTATTTCTGAATGTGTTTTCTTACAAGATACTCATTTGGAAATGTATTTTATCTAAGCATTTGTATTTCTTAATGTAAGCTATCCACAGAAATCTTTAAATTCATTTTGGTACACTTTTGAGCCCAGAACTGCATTACAAAATTCAGAAAATTGTGAAATCTAGTTAGTTTTTGATCTGCACATTAGTTAAGGGTGGATCGAGTCCATTCTCACTGCAAGGTGGAAAGAACAAATTCCTCAACATCTGTAGTGATGGATGAAAATTTCATCTCATCTATTTCATTCATATACCACCCAATCGCCAAAGCTCTCTGAGCAGTTCACAGAAAAGTTCTTATGTAACAGAAGTATTACTAGTAGAACTGCTACTATTTTAAGTTCCCTTGCATTGTAGCATGATTTAGACTGTACTAAATGTTTAGGTCCCGTCATGGTTCACATAGAAAAGCCTTTCTATGCTCAGCCTTTCACTAAACACTTCCTAAAGTTGCCCTTTGTTTTCCATGACCCATGTAAATTGTTCAGACTAGCAGTTGTATGGGGCCATCACTTTAAACAATCCTATGGGTTCAATCCAAACATATTTATGCTTAGAGGAGCACCATTAAACTCAAGGGGAAGTATTGTATTCAGGTTTCTGACCAGTTATGGGAGGTGCAAAGTGGGTAAATTCTGGTCAAATAGATAGTTCAGATGTTGCTGCTTGGGCTCCCAGACAATGTTCTTCCTTCTCCTTAAGGTACCGCTAGTTGCTACCTTTTCCTTTGTCCAGGAACACCACAGGGTTGAACCATGGGGTTTAGAGATGCTCTCAGGGACTGAAAAGGAGAGTGGCACAGAGGATGGATGCTTGTGACAAGGCACCTGTGGGTGGAGATCCAGGGTGTGATGCAAAAGGAGATGAAAGGAAGGATGCTCATGGCAACCCTTCACAACGACAAGATCCCTGGCTGTGCTTCATGTGCAGGGGAGGAGCCAGAATGCACACGGGAACAATGTCATACCGAGTAACATAGTTCTTATGAGAATGGTAATTCACCCTCCACCCCCGCTGCCCCTTCCAGGTAATGCAAACAGGCAGCCTCTGATTAATATTTTCATTTGTGATGCGGAGGAAGTAGTGCTAGTGGTGGCAGAAGAGGAGAGGGAACCATTCTTTTTTTCCTGTTCCTTGTCTAGAAATCCCCCCAGCCTGGAACTGGAAACCATATTCAGATGTTACGCTGCTTATATCAGCTTCTTCCAAGGTACAGTAATGAAGAGTGATGACCTGGTGAGAGTGCAGGTAAGACCCTTCCCCAGCCCCCACCCCCAGTGAACTCTAAGGAAAGGTTTTCACATAATGTTGACTCAGCCGTGGAAGCAAAACAAGAACGGCAAAGCCTGAATCAGATTCTATCAGGCAGCATTAGTCCATCTATCTTATTACTTCTTGCATAGACTAGTGGTGGCTGTCCAGGGTCTTCACCCCTGTCTAAAGATGCTGGGAATGCGAGACCATTTTCCTGGCAAAGCTGCAGCTCTTCTCTCCTGCTGTCAGCAAGTTGGCAGGAGACACCCCCAAAATGTGCACTTCTCTCATAGCACAGTCCAATTCAAGTTGACTACAAGTCCTTTGAGCAGGGCCACCTCACGGTTAGGTATGATCAAGTTCAGCAACAGTTATCCCCTGCCTGGCAGGCTGAACTGGCAAGCACACAAGCCAGCTATTCATAATCTTCTGATGTATGGTAAGATGTATAGCATTTCTCGTTATAGAATGATAATGTTTTCCAAATTTGCGGCCCTGCATACAGATGAATACATGCACCTCCTGTACACATCTGGATCTGTTGTTCACTTTCTTTGTAGTGGCCGTGAGAAGGAGAAGCAGTAACTGCAACTACCTATTTGCTTTCTGCTTCTTTGCTTGTTAAACAAACATGTGGGAGCAATGATGGGAAGAGGATGAGAAACTACAGAGCGTTGTGATAAGAACCTAGACCCCCTGAGAGATGGTGTGTGTGGCACTGGAGGCATTTTGTGTACTTTGCCTGGACTTTGCACTCCTTTTGAGTCCATAGGCAAGCTGAAAAGGGGTCTGTTCAGACATAGCCCACAAATATCCCTTCTCCCCAAATTTTCGCAGCGCCGGCAACAAAAGGTTCAAAACTTTATTAGAACCAAAGTGGAGTTTTGCCTGTTAGGATGCCAGGTTCCTTTTTGAATGAAATCATTTTAAACAATCAATTTTGAAACTGAAAGTAAACAAAAGCAACCACTTTGCCTCTTTATAGTCAATATCAAAATGAGCATGTGCTTACAATAACTGGTTTTAGTCATGATAGTGATAGTTTCCACAAAAATGCTAGTCTGAGGCTGCAATTTTGTTTGGGCTTCTTTGGTTTCATAACCATTTAAACACAAACAGTTTTATTTCTTGCTCAATATACATAAGATTGAACTGCCAGCTTACATCCAATGTTCTTTCTCTCTCTCTCTTTCCCTTCTTCTTGGGAAGCAGATGGGTAATGCTGAAGCATGCCTCATTTTAGCTGACACATGTTCTGCTCAACCTTACATTGAGGATACATCAAACATCATGAGGTAGGACAAGATTTGACAGGTAGTTTTCCAGCCCTGGATTTGTCTTTCCAATCAATAAGAAGGCTTGAAACCCAGCCAAGAAATGAAATAGCACGCTGTTACAACTCTGTCTTGGTGCTCCCTTACACATTTCTCTATCAGTGGAAGTGGCAGATCAGGTCATCTAAATCTAGATGTTTTCACACAAGATAAGGCTTTCACTGGTAGCTGTGGGTCAAGGAACCTGTCCTGTGCCCCCTAACATTCAGGTGTGGTAGAGGATACTGCCCAATCCCCAATGCTGAAGAAAAATCCAATCCAGTCAATGGGAGGGGAACCTTCTTTGTACCAGTTGGCAACATGTGTAGTGCCAGTGCTGTGTGCAAATGATACATGCACAGAAGAAAAAAATGCAGATTTCCAGGCAGAGGGAAAAATGTGGACCCAATGCAGAATTAGTTTGGCAGTGGAAAAAACAGTGATTCCGTCCGACTTGGCAGATTGACCAAACCCTATGGAGTACATATGTCCTCTTTAGCTCTCTGTAACTTCTGCTGCAGCTTGATGCAAGCGGTGCCTCGGTTGTCAAAATGAATGCTCATTTATGTCAGGACAGATTGGGAACTGAAGATGCAGCAGCCATGTGCTTTGCAGAGTATTATTAATTCCTTTTGGATGCCTTTTAAATGGTTGGAAAAAAAATGCAAGGATTTCTGTCTTAATTCTTTTAGGAGAGGACAATGAGAGGGTACTGTTTCCCTCTTTGTTGAGCTCAAGGTTATTTTACCCAATATGCTTTTGGCCACTTTGAGCAGCGACCATTGTTAATCTCTTGTATTTTTCTGGTCACAAAATTAGCATTACTCAATAGCATTATGTGTTATGCAGGGTACTGTCCATCAAGAATCATTATCCACACACCAGAGTCATAATACAGATCATCCAGTCTTCCAACAAGGTGGGATTTGTTGTTGTTCTTTCTTTATTGTTGGATAGACGTTAGTGGGATTTTAATTTTAAGACTTTGATCTAAAAACATCATTGTGTGAATAGAAGGGATTTCAGCTCATGGAAGAGTTATCCATTTTCACTGGTTCCTTTTTCCTACAAAAGCTCCCCACACATGTTCCCAGATATTCTGCTAGGCACCTAACAAGCGGGAGGATATTCACTGAGTAGACACGTTGCTGACATGGGAAGGTGGAAGTGGGAAAAAAGGATGTGAGAGGATTCCGACTGTGGGATGAAAATTCAATGGATGTTCATGATTTGGTCAGCTGGGTTCTGGTTCATTAGTCCTCTGCTAGTACTGGTTTACTATGGCAACAGTCAAGCAGCTCACGGACTTCCACTCCAAGGCAGATTGCAATTGAAGCATTTGTGTACACACATATATACCACCAATGGAATGTGTTCTGGCAAACACCTGAGAGTCGCCATGGTTTTAGCACAGTAGCTGCAGAAGTAGCCAATTCTGTGCAAATTTCGTTTGGCACAAATAAGCTAATTTTGCATAAATTGCACCAGACCCCCATGGGATCTGAATGCTTATTTGCACTAATGTCATTAGGGATTCAACAATTCACAGTCTGTGGTCCATCTCAGAAATGGAAGTCCACCTGAAAACAAAAACAACTCAGCCCACTTCTTATCAATGGATTGGAAGCAGGAGAGAAATCAGATTGGAAGTGGACAACTCAAATGATCTCAATTTCTTTGCTTCAGTATATCTCTAGTAGGAACATCTCATTCCATGAGTGGGCAACTCATAAACGTTGGAATCACTTTCTCCTCAAAGAGCAACATCAGGAGATGAGTGGTGAGAGACATGGAAGGACGCTTTTTAAATGAGAATCAGAGGAAGGTGCTGTCAGGGAAACCCCAACATTTCCGAAACACAAAAATAAAAGAAATGATGGCCACTAAAGAATTGATCCCTGGCCACCCCATATACAGCCCTTAGAATTGAATATGTTATGAGTTATGTTATGGGAGGAAAGCCAGGTGGAGAAATAGGATGGAGCAACTTGAAGGAAGATGTGACTGGCAAGCCGGAATCCTGAACAGCAACAGTACTATCAGAAAGTCATAGCGCAAGTCAGTTATCCGAGACTTCCTCATTGCTTAGACCAAGTGCATTTCCTTGCCTGTGATGGTACAAAATCAAGCAGCCTAGGAATCACAAAGTGGAATGATACTGAATCACCTCTGCCTCATACATAAACATATCAGAATCCTGAAACAATGTGCAATTATCCAGAATCAGCCTTGTAGACTTCTGGGGAAGTCCAGTCATCCCAGCTGGCTATATGGTGGAACTGTTCTACAATGTCTCATGTTTTTATATCTTTCCCTCTTGTCTCACCAAATAGGTGTACCTACCAAAGCTTCCCAACTGGGACTGGAGGAAAGGAGACAGTATCATTTGCTTTTCTGAACTCAAACTTGGGTTGATAGCTCAGAGTTGTGTGGTACCAGGTCTGACCACAATATTGACCAGCTTGTTTATTCGAGAGGGCATTCAGGTAATTTCATGTTTCTCCTTTTTTATAGGCTGTTAATTTAACATCTCCATTACTGGAGGGTTGTTAATACAGCTATTCCATCTGATTACCATTAAAGATATAATCAGGTTGCATTCAGAGTTGAAACCAGAAAGAAGACATTTCAGAAGGAAGCATCCGAATTTCTGCTATGATACAGATTGTTTCTTTAACCAGATTCTTTTCTGCTCATAGCTAGATAACAGGTCTGTAATCCCTGCTTGTCAGAGTTTATAGAAACTTCCCTCCAATGCTGCAGAAAGAACCACAAGGTTGCAATTTTAATTTGCTTTTTCTGATACTAGAACCCTCTCTTTGGCTTCTCCTCGTCTCAGTGGTGGCTTCCTCTACAAGCCTGAAATTGCAGCCTCACAATGGGGAGAAATCGGGTATCTGGGGGCATTCCATTGTGGAGGGAGGGAGGGAGGGAGGATTTTATATGTATTATTTATATGCTGTTTATTTATTATGTTGGAAGCTGTCCTGAGGCTTATGCGACTGGGACAGCATACAAAAACTCCAAATAAATAAATAAATAAGGATCCAAAAATCCAGGGGAACCGAACCCTCCTAGCCCCGGACCAGGGCAATATTTTGATGATGCTCAAGAGCATGTCCAAAAGTGTTTCTTTCAGTTCCAGCCATAAGAGAGACTGATTTTTTTCTTCTATGAGAGAATGGAAGAAAAGTACAGTCACTCTTGGCTTCTGCTGCATCAATGAGAGCCAACAGGGCATACCAAAAATGCCAGTATTTGAGCCAAGGATTGTTGTCCTAAAAGCAACCTCAGTAGTGCAAGAAATAAACACACAGACACCATCTATTACCAGTGGAAGTGAGAGAATATTTTAATTTAACCTAATTAATTTCAACTACATCCGCAGGAGAGTTAAACACACATGCTGTTAATGACTTTAAGGAATTAGTAATTAGCTGTTGCACAGACATTATATTGCTGTTCATTTCCATTGTATTTCCCAGTGTACCAAGTACTTCACATTTCTTCTCTCATTTATCCTCAGTATGAACCTGGGGGGGGGGGGGGAGAAAGAGAGACCATATTACCCCATTGATCTTTTATGTTCAGCTCAGGAGTTGTTTTTGAATCTTGCATACTCTGTTTCAACAGTTTTATCCATTGCATCACAGAAGAGACATGAGAGAAGGTAAAATCTTTTGGTAGTGAACATTGCCCCCTACGTGTATGGAGTCAAAAGTCCCAAAAGGACTCTCAAACCACAGCCTTGTCTGGAGAAAACTCTCTCTCTCTCTCTCTCTCTCTCTCTCTCTCTCTCTCTCTCTCTCTGCTATTTTTGTACCACTCAATAGCCAAAACTCTCTGGGAGATGTGCAATGGTAAATAACATGCAATATAACATATCAATAGCAGTTACAAATTCATAAAACTACACTAAAATTTAAAACCAGAGTTTAGCAACTTATGTTGATGATAAACCTGCCCAAAACAGCTAAGAATACCCCTCTCCCCCATATGATATTCGGAGTTAGTAAACACTTAGAAGCATCAATATGGCACCAGGTGGGCTTCAGTGGGGAAATCATTCCTTATTCAGGGGCTACCCTCCTCTTTGGGTTTTCATCTGACTGTCACACTTGGCACAAGGTGTGGTTTCTGAACTGTATTTGCAACAAGAAGAGGCATATTCCTTGGTTGCTGCATCAATACTCTTTTCCCTGGGCTTTGCTCTTTCTGCCCTCTCTTTTCACCGGCTGACAAATCATCAAGGCAACATTGTTGTTAATTGAGACCTTGGAAAGGACACCTTCTCCTCATCAATTGGAACCCAACATCATTCACCCAAAACACATAAACACACACACACACACTTATTCACACATTCACACACAAGATGCTTGGTGAGAAAGTGATGGGAAGCTGGCAATTCTTCTCAAACTCCAAGCCAGAGGAGAATTGGGAGGATTTATAAAGCAAATATTTCCTCTGAGGAGAACCTTATGAGTTCCCTAAATTATTTTCCTAGTCCTGGCATCCCTGAGTGAAACCACTTTTCAGAACTGGGAGCTCAGTTCCTTTAAGTGGACTTTGAAAGCCATTTTAAAGAATCTTACTAGCTTTTGTCTACTGGATACATATGTCAGAATTGCATTGATTCCTTGCCATTTCTTTTTAAAATTGTTTGATTTGTCTTTGCTATTTGACATCTTCACCGATTTTATGATCATTGCCTGATTGATAATGTTCTTTCTTTCTGCATGGGGTGATTTTATAGATAGGGAGGTTAAACTGCAGTACTAGACATATTTACTCAAAAGTAAGTCCCATTGAGTCCAGTGGGATTTATTGCAAGATAAATGGTTATTAGACTAGATTAGTAACCTAAATAAATAAAATGAACTATAGCATTGCAACAAAGATGTTAAGCATTTAAAGTGTTTTTAAATTCTATTTTCATCCTCAGAATTATTTGCATTTTGGGCCTTCTGCAATGAATTGTATTCTTTATTGCAGCTTGTCCTACAACTCTCATAATCCCTCCCTATTGGCTATGTTGGCTAAAGTAGATGGGACTTGCTGGCCAGAACTTTTGACCAATCTTTGCTTTCATCAAAGTTTTCCTTATACTGTGGAACATGAAAGGCATCAAGACTATCTCTTGCTGTTCAATGTTTGTTCATTCCCATCTGGTCTTTGAACTGATTTGATAAAACAACTAGAAATCTAGCTTTTCTGGATGTATGATAGGATTACATCTCACCAGTGTGGTATTGTGGTTAGAATGCAGGACAGGGAATCTGGGAGGTCTATTCTCATTGGTCATGAAGCTCACTGGGTGACTTTTGGCCAATCACTGGCTCTCAGCCCAACCTACCTCACAGGTAGGTTGTGGCTATGTGGATAAAATGCAACAGGTAAGCTGCTTTGGGTTCCTTAAAAAGGATAAAGACAGGATATAAATGTAAAATTATTATGATATTGCTGTTGTTGACAGTTGTAAAATGGTATGTAGCCACCTAGGAAAAGAGCAGCAAGTGACAAACCAATGGCTATAATTTGTTTGAGCCAAAATTTCTAAGACTTATTTTCTGAGAAAAGTTCAGAGATTTTTTAAAATTTAATTGATCTCATCCAACACAAAATGCAGGCCATTTTGCTCAAATTTCGGCCAATATTCTCCACTATCTGAGACAGCTACCATGTCTCACCTCCCAACAACATTCTGGAGCTATCATGCCTATGAGTCATTCGGAAAAGGCTAAATGCTGACCAACATCAATAAACACTAACAAAGCAATAAACATTGAGGAGGAAGACAGAAATTGTACCACTGCCACCGCTACTGGTGAGCCCCACCCTGAGAAGTTCTTGGAGTATCCCCCCTCCTTCTGGAGACCTTTGGTGAAATAGAACCAGGCCACCACCATATTCCTCTGTTCCCAAATAGGGCAACAAATTTTGAGAGGCTCAACTAGGCATGAAAAAGAATGAAAATCAGTGTGCAAGATTCAAATACTTTCTTTGACCAGCTAAATAACTGAATCCAGGAAGCATGTTTCAAGTGGTTACAGAAATAGTAGCAGTTCAGATCACCAGTGACTCAAAGCTTATGGCTGAAGCAATCCAGAATGAGTACAACACAGAGAGCTTTTCCTCAATTTGGCTTGAACAGGAAGTAATAAAAGACAGCCTGGTCTCTTACCAGTAATGAATGTCTCTGAGGTTCAGACCTGATGTGACAGACAGATTGATTCTGAATGTCAAACATGATGTCTATGAACATGCAGAAAGCACATAGAGGCATGCACTAAACACCAAAAACAATGAATCGAGGGAAATATCAAAAGCCTTTCCCTGGCCTGCAGTTTAACTCCCCCAAGTACTTTCTTCCTTCACCTCAGTAGTAGAGCCACCTGGCAGAGAAGCACGCACTTGGTGCGCATGTTGCAAGGAGGCACATGGAGCTGGGTTCTGCATCCCACATCCTTATTAATATTGGATCCTGCTGCTTAATGTCTGTGTAGTTGGGACATATCTAGGCTCCCATCACATCGAGTTTGGAAGCGGTCGTTCCAAGATGGTTGCAAACACATGAACCACTGGGGCTCCCAGTTCTAGCAGAATCTACTGCCTGATTCTGTAGGGGGCTGAAATCGTAATATTTTTTTACAGAAAGTGAAAACTTTACATAAGCACCAAGAAGAAGTAAAAGGCCAGGAATATAAAGTGATGACTCAGCTTCTTTCCAACACTTTTGTTGACATGTCTTTCAAAGATGTTTGCTGGTAGGTAATCTCTGTCCCACCAGCCTATTCTATAGCGCCTAGTCAATCCAGCCTCTGTCAATTGTACATGTACCCCCATTTAGCCAGATGACCTTGCCCGGGACAGATGTTGGTCCAGGTATAGTACTCCAAGGCCGAGTACCCCTAGGGATATCAGATAATCAATAATAGATTCAAATGATCACATATTTCTGTCAATTTGACCTGCAGATTCCATAGAACGCTGCCATTTCTGAGTCATCTGGATTCCACAGACTGACAGACTGTATTTGTTTTGCTCTGCTTTGTTTTGATTTTCTGGAACTGAACTCAAAATTAATCACGCAAAAGTACAAAAGTGGGTGGAGAAAATGCAGAATTGGGGCAGCACAACCATAAGAACATATGAAAAGCCAGTGCTCCATACGCAGTGGCAAACCAGCTGCCCACAGGCTCCCTCAAGCAGGATGGGCTCAGGACCGCCTCCTGGGGGCTGAATATACAAATATATTAAACTGTTACCCAATGACTTAACATTTACAACTTTAATATGTCCTGAGCAAGCACTAGTCCACTTAGACTAAATCCAAGTTTGTCTTCCCACTGCTTGGTTTCATGAATAACCACTCTAGGGCACAATCATTTGTGACATCCAGAAATTTAACCTCTCTATCAGACCTGGAACATGCGTTTTTCAGTCAATGTGTGGATACTTGAAGTCCCTCATTCTTAAAAACTGCCTTTGTTGGAGGCAAACCCTAACCCTAACCCTAACCCTTACCTACTTATTCACTTGAGCAATCTGAAACGTCTTCCCCTTCATCCACTAGGGATGATTTGACCCAGACTGGCTGCTTCCAAGCTCCTGTTGGCTTTCCCCAAGCAGAGTTCAGTTTTAAAACTGCTCTGCCACCTTTTTAATGTTAGCTGCTGGCAGTCTGGTTCCATTCTGGTTCAGGTGGAGCCCATCCAATCTGTACAGGCCTGGCTTATCCCATTTCCCCCCACAATAGCATAACAATTATATTACAATATGTTAAGCCATTTGGACACAGAGGTTCCAGTAGAACTAAGGACTCTTTAATTTTCAACAACAGAAACATTCCCTTTCTGTTTATTTGTGTGTTTCCTTTTTTTAACAGATATTCCTCTCTTTTCTTAGGTTGTGCTTTGTGAAGCTGAATCTCATACTGCTTGCTATTGAATTTCGATCTAGCGTTCATGGAAATAGGTGATCGACAATGTTGTTGAGCACTTCTGTGTAGCAGGGGTTAATGACGATAATAGCACACTTGCCCTTAAATCTTTTGGTTGGAATTAAATCATCTGCTTCAGAAAATGGCTCACCTCTGTGTGGAGCAATTCATCAGAGCTTTCATCCAGGACTTCCCAGTTACCATTGGAATGTGGAATCCAGTTATGTTTGTTCTCTTGGTCACAGTTGGATTGTATTTCCAAGCAAAGAAACTCCTAAAGGAGAATATCAGAAGAAAGGGTTGGAGGGGGTGCTGTGTCATGTACCTTGTGTCTTGATATGGCAGGGGAATTACCAATAACTTTAAAAATCTGCACAATCAGTCCACTATAAGCATAACTGAGGCTGGATCCAACCTTATTTTTAAGTTAACACACCACATATGCCCCCATCTCCACCCCAGTACTTGCTTTTCGAAGACAATTAACTTACCAAGATTGGGAATTTGGGTTATTTAACTTGGGGAAGCAGTGCTCTAGGGGTGGGGGGGGGTGGAATAACCTCATCTTCTCCTCTTTCTTACTCAGACCATCAGCCCACTCCATCACCACCTGTTTTCTACAAGGAATTGATATCTGGGTGGGTGAGTTTGGGCAGGGCATTAAGGGAGTTTGAAATAACTTTTTGTTTTGCTTTTCTCTTTGACCACAGTATCCTCATCAACCCAACTTCCATGATCCAACTCCATTCCAACACAATGGGCTTTTTCATTGCCAAATCCACGAAGGAACTCAGAAGGTAGCTTAATTATTTACATTCCAGATCAAATATTTGAATTCCATTCCAAATGCTTCACCTTTAGAGTGGATTTCAGGCATAGGGTTGTCACCTATGTCTGTGACAACATAGGTCTGTGGATGCAGGTTTCACCAACCAACCACCCCCAAAAAAGAGAAGAGAAAGAAGAGATATTAGAAATGTCAGAGGAAGAGTTATACAAATGATTACTCTTTTGACTCCAAAGTAATTATTATGGTCAGAGTGTGTGTGTGCTGGAGTAGGGGGTGATGAGAAGGAAGATCATCATTTTCTCTACTCTAGTTGTCCTAATGCAGGGCTGGAAACATAATCCCTATGGGTGCCAATGCTGCCACCCCTTCCACCCCCTGACATTCCACACACCTAAACTGCACCACCACCTTTTCCTGCTGGCCTCTGTAATGGTGATGCAATAAAATCCTGCTCATGCTTTGATTCTTGTGCTGTTTACCGTGCTGGGGCCTGAGCACCTCTGCTTCATATTCATTCTTTTGGAGTGGATTATCTGTCCTTTACAATTCCCCCATGGCAGCCAGGATAGTTTTTCAAATTGCCAAATAAGTCCACCAAGCAAAGCAATTGCCTACCCCTGCTTTAATGTCACTTACCCTCATATAATGCACATGTGTTTGCACAGACACATTCATAATTTGGCACCATTGTCCCAGCTGTGCCCCATAGATGCCTTCCATAGACGCACACCCCATCATAACGCATGCACTCGTACTCCCTCTCCAGAGAGTGGTAGGGTGGACTTTGGACTTGACTGAAAGAAGACAAAAAGGACACAGGGGTGTATGAAAGTGCAAATTAATGTATGTGTATACATGTCCGCAGGAGGAATAGTGGAGGCAACAACCTGATGGTTCAAACACACATCTGCTGCTCTGGCAAGAGAAATTTAATGATTTGAAAGTACTGGGCCTTCCGCTGCTTAACACAAGTCACCAGACCCCACAGAATTGCTGTGCCCCCTATTTTAATCCGTTTTTTAAAAAGTTAAATTTAATTACATCATTTCCCCTTGCTTTTGTTGCCCAGGGCTCGTTATTATTGTAAGCAGTGCCACAGTGACATCAAAAATCCAGACCAAATTGGGAAGTGCCGTTGCAAAGCGAATGCGCGAAGAACATTTTCGGTTTCTGGTAATCTTGCACTTTATTTTAGAGTGGCATAACTGCATATGGTCAGACATGGATTACACAGCTAGTATTTTGCACAGCATTTGTTAACCTAGTGAGCATTGATGAGGGATGATTTATGAGTGTGGCTGAAGTACAGAGAAAAGATCTCAGCAGTTCCATAGTCTTAGATGTGTGTGATATCACAGGCCGGAGCATTAGCAATGTTAACATGCGTGGCAAAAGGAATTTTATAGTGATACTACTGAAAATACCCTTTATGAGTGATGTATGCATAGACTGTAGTTCCCGTGAGGAAACCGTGAGAGCCCCTTGCAGCAAAAACAAATGTCTTGCGAAACATTACGGATTCCATTTACAGCTTTTGCGGCATGAGCTTTCTTTGACATTTCTTTCTCATTTCTTTGACGTGAGCTTTCTTTGACTAAGCAGCTATGCCACAACCAAAATGCATTATTCAGGAGTCTCCAAATGCTTACTTAAGGAGTCAAGAATGTGGCTTCATGCATCTGCACTGGGATCATTCAGCAGGCCTTGTTCCTGGTGCATGAGTTGGAGCTGCACGCATTGGTCAATAAGGCCTGAGCTATAACATAAGCCTCCATAGTTGCAACCTAAGCCCTTCATCTTGAATCTAGCAGGCTAGATTCGTCTGACCAACTCGAATATGCACCTGTGGGAATCTGAACAGTGCTTCCCACTAGCATTGACAAATGTTGCTATTCTTAATGAAGCCTTTTTGCTTCCCATTTTTCTCCCAATTTTGGATTTGTTATAATAAGAGCTTCACTGATTTGACATGTTCTGTGCCAGAATTGGGACTACAACACATGTAGCACTTACATAAATATCACAGGTTGGTGAAGCATCTTGAAACTCAGGTAATCCCCCCCCCCCGCACAATCTCAACACCAATGATAGGTGTTGGGGAGTGGTGAAATTCCTGTTATATCAGGTGGTAGCAGTAGAGCCAAGGGGTGCATCAGTCAGTATCAGGTGAGCATGAAGTTTCTGACAGGTAATCCACACCTAAGCAAGCTACTGATGTCTGTGAGGGTGATTAGCCAGTAAACACCAATATGCCTGAATGACACTGATTAGAGCCAGTGATGTGCTGGAAAAGTCCCGCATGGTATTTTCAGCCATTCTCATTTGATTTGATAGGCAATGATATTTTTCCCTCTTGAGGGTTATTAGGAAAGGGAATGGATTTCCTCTCTTTCTCTCCTGCTAACCTACTTCACCAGCTACCTAAGTGAGGATAAGAATGAGTGTGCTGCCCGTATGACCCCTGTTAATAGGGACATCTGTCTCCCATGCCACCTGAAGTTGTAGGAGAGGACGACTTCATCGCATAAAAATCTCACCTTGCAGTTTGGGCTGTAATTTCTACCCTTACTCTTTTCAAGAGTTCATTTTGAAATGTATCTTCATCTCTCCTTTGAACAGCAGATGGCAGGCAAGCCCCACTGCTAACTTAGCTGCTAGACTCCTTTGTAAATAACAGAAGCTCACATCCCATCATGATGTCACAGAACCGCACACGCATGGGCTTGTTGGCATATCATATTCCTGAGAGATATCAGAACAGTCTTCTGAAGAACATCATTGTGATTATTTCTTCCTAGTGTTCACACTACAAGCTTGTTTATACCAATCTGTGGTTAAACAGCATAACACAAAAACCCCATGCTTTATGCAGAATGTGGCTCAAAGTCATAACAACCGACAAACATGATGTGCCGCTCTAGTTCAGCAGCCAGTCTGCTACAGGTCAGACTGCACCGAGGGCATGAGTGCATCGCACCCCACCATAAGATGGAGGACGATGAGCCTTGGTGTCCTGCACCAGCAGGGGGCTGGACCCAATGGCCTCCAGGCCCCTTCCAGCTCTACTATTCTATGATTCTTGATTGCCTTTTCCTCCAATCATTTGTATAATTCATTTACAAAACGATCCATATTCGCTGTAAGCATCTTGGGGCAGCAAGTTCCATGGCTACATATGGATATTCCAAATATGACATGATAAATACTAAGCACAGAATATCTGCAAAATACTGGGCTACATGGGATGCATGGAGGCATATTTCCACGAGGCTGCTGATCAAGGGTTGTGGAGTGCTTTCAAATGGTTATCCTTTTTTTGGGAGGGGGGGAATGTTGGCTGGATGGGGGTGGTTGTTTTACCATACTGTCTAAAGCGACCCAAGAAATATTGGAGAAATATAGTTTATTGGGTGGGTGCCAATAATTGTTGCCTGGGTAGTCATTGGCTACTTTTGTATGTGTTGTGGCAGTTTAAATATTTCCTTATCAGTCCATTCTTATCTTATCTTATTTGAATAATAAGACAGATCACTTGGGAGGCATTTTGAAGGGATTAATGGAGATGGGAATTTCACTTTTGCTCATAAAACATGTGAGCATGTCCCATTCAAAGGCCTGGATGTGAGAGCAGGCTGCCTTCACTGAAAAAACTGGCAAATTGTCAAATGCATGCTTACATTTGTGTCATTCCAAATCCCAGGCTAATTAGTGCAAATCCCCTCACTACATTGAATCAGCCCTACTTCAGTCCATAGAAGAAGTTTGCACAAATTCCTCAATTTGCAAAAATTTGGGGAGTTGCAGGCTTTAGTCCAAGAATTATTTTCGAATTCATGAGAATTCAGTGCAGCCCTTCCATCCCCATTGTGTGAATAACAATAAAAGAAGGCACATGCACACACACTTAGTTTCCAGGGCACTTTTAAAAAACAGTTGCATGAAGCATGTTCGGCTGGAGAGTGGAATAAACCCTGGGAAGATTTCTGCAAACCTCCCATATAGTTGCCGTCTGATTTGCACAAGTTTCCAATTCGCACAAAACAAATAAATGATCGCAAACAGGAACAGGAATTGGGAATAAATAGCAATATGTTGGAGAATCCCGCTGATCTCAAACATCACTCATTTGCCCATCCCTATAGATGTTAGTTAACCGCTTTAATATTGTTGCATAATTTTCTAATACGTGGATGGAGTTTTGCAATGGTGAGCTCAGGCAAAGAAACACAGTGAATTGCCTCATGTAGAATCAGACCATTGGTCCACCTAGCCTGAAATGGTCTACATCAGGGTTAGGGAATGAAGATGGTAGACTGCGACCATCCCTTGCTGTTGGCTATGCTGGTTATACCTGATGCAGCCTATCAACTGGCACCCACAGAACCAAGCACCATCCAACTCTTCTCGGGTCCACAGTGACCACCGTTGAATTTCCAGGATGTTAGATGTGTCTCATGCAGCTCAGGTTGGAGATGCCAGAGGCTTAACCTAGCGCCTTTTGCATGCAAGCATGTCCTGCATCACTGAAGTATGGATGCCCCTTCTCAGTGGCTCCACCCATTGATGGCCCCATCATGTTCACCATGACCTGAGGGTGCTCCTGCTCATCCTCACCACAGTGGCCGCCTGCTTGCTTTCCAGACAGAAAGACAAGGAGCAGTGAGCAAGGGCTAGCTCCTGCTTCTCTTACTCACCAGCACCATCATTTACTCATGCATCTCCTTTGGTCCAAAGCAGAGTCAGTGAGAAAACCAGTAAGAACAATTTTGGTGGTGGTGAGGAGGAGGACAGGTGGGAAGCTGCAATGTGTCAGTGCCAGCTCCGATACCAATCTGAGGCAATCTGTGTGGCTGAACAGTGACACTTCACTTAACTTGGCTGCCACCATGAGCAGCCTCGTGGAATTGCTTGCTCGAATGCAGAGGACATCAACGTACCTCCAGCTCACTCCAGGCTATTGCGTGTGGGCAAATGAGCAAGGAAAAGAAGATTTCCCTTTGCTTCATTTGATATTTTATTTTTAATTCCAGGGAAGTTTAAAGCTTTGCAAGACTTTCTGAGCCTCCCAGATCAATATCCGGCAAGTTCACGAACCCTTGGGATTCCCCCTCTCTCAAATCTGTCTGCAGAAAGTGAAAGGTAAGATAGACAGAGTGCTACAAATAATACAAAGCATATCCTGGTTTGGATCATTTGGGTAGGAAGCAAATAGAAGAAGTGCAGCTCTGCTTCTTTCTTTGAAAGCCCTTGGGTACTTTAATATCTTATAGCAGAAGTGACTGGATGTGACTGGAAGAGCTTATCATGAGTGAAGGGGAAAATGTGGAAATTCTATGGTATATCATGATCAATGGCCAGATTAATACATTCAGGCCCAGGGTTCAAGACCTAGCTGCCACCACATATCTCCATCAACCAGTCCCTCCTCCGCTTCAGGCAAAGGATGTGGACAACTAATAAGTAAAGCAGTCCAGCCAGAGACATGACAGGTCTTTCGGACATCATTTTTAACTAGTTCAGACACTCGTGAGCATGTTTAGGAAGATCATTTCCTGAAGGGAGCCTGGAGATTTTATTTTCCTATGGCTCCCAATAAAATTCATTTTGATTTTATCCTGACTTAGCCTTGGAAAACTTTTCCTTTTAGCTGTGAAGGGACACACTACAGTGGACAAGGTAAACCATAAGGACATTGACAAAGCAAGGCTGCTTATGGGATAGTTTATGCATGGCAAGAACGACCATGGCAAAAAGTAATAATGAGACAAGTAGGAATCATTTTGCATAAATCAAATGGACAGAAAGGGAGTAAATGAGAAACCTTTAAATTTGTGCAAAGTTCCCTTCCATTTGCTTTCCTAAATCTGTGCAGTACATAGTCTGGTGCTCTTTATGCATTAATGGTGTCTCCTTTTTTTTTCCTGACTTGCTTCTGAATTGCACAAATTGATTCCTCCTCCTACCATTTTCTCCCTGTGCCTTGCAACTTTTGCAAATTAGCCTATATGCAATTTCACTTTATAAGTTTCTTTTATATTACCTACTCCACTTGGGTTCTTTAACTTATAGCCAAAAGCATACAAGAAAACGGATGAGGCAAGACTACAAATATCAAACAGCTGAATCTTCTCACTTGCAAAGAAACTGGGATTTTTAGAAGAATGGTCCATTTGCACAAATTTCAAGATGTGCATGCAAATTTGATTTGTGCAAATTAGCAACAACAACAAAACCGGAACAAAATATGCATATTTGATTGATTGATTGATTGATTGATTGATTGAAGATCATATCAACATGGTCAGGAGAAACAGAATCAAATCTATTAGGGCCAAAGCTGTAAAATCCATTACATGTTCACCCTCCAAATGGAATTCTCACAGAGTCCTATTCAGGATTAGGGTTTCAAGGAGACAAGGAAGAACCACCATAATTCTTCTTTTTCCCCTCCAGTAAGGGCTACGCCGACAAAGCATGGTTCAGTCCTGAAAGGGGCAGAACTTTCCCAGTCCTCACTATGATGAACAATTTTAGAGCCCTGAATACTCAGGTCCCCATATTGATCACACCTTTATTACACTGTAGCACATGATCTTGTACCCTGTTGCATGTGTGTTACTCACCACAACATATGTTTCCCACAAATATGGGGAACTGAAGTGGAATAAAAACATCCCCTAAGGCATCTGCTCAGGGTGACCAACTTTCTTCTAGTTAAGGGCCTGACATGGACCAGGTGTACCATAATTTAAAGGCTGTGCTATTGAGTTCCAGTTTAAATATAAACAATATGTAAGCTGAAGCATGAAAACACATACTGAAGGGAGAGGAAAAGGCACACTTGTGCAAGTGCACACTTCTGAACACTATCACAAGTTTGGGAAATTGTGAGCATTCCTGAGGCTTATACTTCAGCTCACATGCATGCCTAGGATTCTGAATGGGACATGTTAGCCTGATTTGCAAAAAGCAACAGGATTCTTGTATATTCCTACACCCAATGACCTTGTATGGTTGTGTTGGAGTTGAACCTGGGTCTCTCTTGTGCTAGTCTAGCACTCTGTAAACTATGGTTATTGTTGTTGTGTCTGCTTTGTGAGTACCTTCATAGTTTTACAGATTTCAACAAATTGAAAATCGTGTTCCTTGCCTCACGGGGAGGGGCGGGGGAGATGACATCAATTGCTGCAATCCTAAATACAATTGGGGATTAGGACTGGAGGTGGAGGATGTAATCCTACACACATTAACATAGGGGAGCAGTTCTTGAGGAAAACTTGCATAATCTGTAACACTCAAAGGAACTGAAGAGTTAAGGTAAGTAAAGTTTACTACTCTGTGTAATATTATTGCACCCTAGAAGTCAAGGCAGATTCTAACTTCAATTAGGACCCCAGGATGGTGTAGGTTATTTTTCAGGATTCTAAAGCATGCAAGAGAAATGAGGGGCACAGTCCACAGGGTGTGAGATCTTCACAAGCCTCTACTGGACTCCACTGCCCATAAACACAGGCCAACAACATGGAAAGTTCTGTGAGCAGATTTCAAGTGGGTCTCCCCCATCACCCCACAAAGGCATATGCAGCCATGGGCAGATCAAACTGGTGACCATGGTGCTGCTGGAGGAAGAAGGTGGGATGATTTCCCAGCTGAGAGTCACCTTTCACCACCCCCACAAAGTTAACTGTTTGTCTCAAGAGGCAAAATATACAACTATTATATGGGCACATTTCTACAGTTAATTAGATCATAATTAACTATCATTAAATATCAAGGTGGCCAATATGTGATTGTACTCGCTATGGTAAGTACTTGGGTGGCCATCCAAATACATCTTGCAGTGGCATGCAAATAAACCCTCATACACACGTGTGTGCATGTGTGTGCATTTGCACATACACGCACACCCCACTGTGTTAACTCATTCAGAAGGGAAATTATCATTAAGTTTATGACAGTGTCTTTCCCCTCCTCCCTTTGGCCATAACATAATTTGAAGAAGAAAGGGTGGGGGGAGGTCTTCTCTCAACTTGCTGAAATATCATTATTAAAATGTGCATGAAAAGTCAATTATGCCAGAGGGAGGTATTTAAGAGAAGCGAGTTTCCATACTGTGGGATTACACCTTGGGGATTACAGATACTGCTGAAATCTTTGCAGCTGTTTAACTTGAAAGGGGAGAGGATTTTCATTGTCAGATGTTCTATAGCCCTCACAAGAGGAGGGGAAACACAGAGGGAAGTCATTCTTCCTTGGACCTTGAAGTTAACTCCCACCATCGAATGGCTGTGAAGGAGATTACTCTAGTGAGTGTTGTCCTAGCTCTATCTACTAAGAATGGTCTTTTCCTTGTGGGGATCCCACAGGACTTTTAGCTTTCAGAGAGGACTGGTAGCACTTGAGTGACCTGGGAAATCCAGAGTTCCTTTTTGTTGCTTTTATTGAACTCAACCATTATTTCTCTCACTGACCCCACTTCTCCATCCTTATAACAGCCTTGGTTAGACTAAAATATGACCTCCTGTTGCCCTGTGAGCATCATGGATGAGCAAGGCTTTGAACTTGGGCCGTTCTGTTCCTAAGTCATCACTCCGACTACTGCAACACATTTCTTCGCTACACTTTAAAAGAGCCTTCCCCAGAGGTCTTTGATGTCATCTCCCTTCGGCTCATCTCAGGATGACCAATGGCCACACATGCTGAGAACTCATGACATTTTGAGGGGGCAGGGCTGAGGGGAAAAAACATGAATTCAATTCATTTTTTAAACTTTCCTGCAGAGGAAAATGTGAGTTCTCTTTTCTGCCTCTCAACAATGTTCTTAATAGAAGTATTTTTGAGTATTCCTTGCTTCCCCCAGGGATCAGGAGGGATGCCAAAAGCCCATCACCATTCATTGCCATTCATGGCCTTCTTATTTATTTAGTACATTGCACCCACCCTTTTCCCATCTTGTGAAGAACCAAGCCCACACGATTTCCCATAACCCAGCCATATGAGGAGAGATGAAAAGAAGCAGGCATATTTAGTCTTCGGAAGAGAAGACTGAGGGGAGACATGAGAGGATACTTCAAGTTCTTGAAAGACTGTCATGAGGAGGAAGAACAGGATTTTTATTTATTTATTATTTTTTATCATCCCAGATGGACATGGAATAACAGTCTCGAACTACAGGAAGTCATAAGCTGGCTCGATACTGGGGGGCGGGGTGATCCTGACTGTTAGAGCAGTAGGACAATGGAAGCAATGACCTAGGGAGATGGTGGGCTCTTTCACACTAGAGGCCTTCAAGATGGGATGGTTTACCTTGGAGTTTACCTTGGCGACGGTGATGGTGATGGTGAAGGTGATGTAGTGGAGGTGGAATAGTGCTATTCTTTTCATCTGGTATTTTGGTGGCCTGGATCACGAAAGTATTTCATTCTGTCCTGGATCTCCTAACAGTCAGATTCATAGAATGACCCTGGATTCTACCATTATCAAAGAGCAAAAAAAAAAAAAAAAAAATCTCCTTTCCCCCACACCATGTATAATTTTGTATACCTGTACCTGGCTCCCCTCACATGCCATTTCTCCAAGCTATAAATGCTCCAATGTTTAATATTTCCTCATAGTGGAGTTTCTCCATTCAGCCCCTTGATGATTTTTCTTGCCTCCAGCTCAACACTACCCTCTTTTTCAGGTACAATGACAAGAACTGTACTCATTTTGCTAAGTGTGGGTTGCACCAGAGATTTGTAGAAGGGTAATATGATCTTGGCAGCTTTATTTTCAATTGCTTTCTTAATGATACCTAACATGGAATTTGCCTTTTTCATATCAGCTGCATACTGGGTCAGCATTTTCATTCATAATCCAAAGCTCTTACTTGGTGAGTCACAGCTAGCTCAGATATCATCAGTTTAAACTGATGGAGTCTGCAATTATGTTTTGCTTTAAAGTACCAGGAGAACTGGTGGGTTGTCCTGGCTGTGGTATGTGAATGAAGTAAAGACAAAGCATTCAAGTTTGACTTCTGACTATTGTTTGTGACAGATTAATATAAAGGAAGCCCAAGCATGAGGAAAGTGAGTGATCTGAGGCTGGATACTTCTTTCCTACATCATGAAAGCAGTTTAGCCTTCTGCATCAATATGAGA